CAAAGCAGCTCCTGTTCCACAATATCCATCAACATGATTCGTCCCGTTCGTTTGCTGTAAGCCTGTAAATGATGATAATAACTAGGACGAGCGCCCCGTCTCTCCGGTTCTCAGCGGAGTCTGTTCCATTACGGCTAGGCCAGTGCAGAGTGCAATATCTGTTTCGTCCATCTGTTTTCCTCATCCCTGACACACATTATCTCCTGGGCCAGACGAGAACTGTAGCACCTGCTTGGAGCTCTGCCATACCTGGCTGACACACCTGTCATGCGCTGTTCCACAGTTAATTTTCCTCTCGGTACGAGTGAATTCCATGTCTTTTTTACAAAAGAACCGTTGGCGCACCAGAATAGAATTTCTGGTTTTTATAGTTGTCCTCCTTTACAACTGCTGCTGTGTTAGTGCTGCAACCTCAAGTATGGTGAAAACAATCTATTCGCCCTGCTTAGCCTCACACCCTACACGTTGTTCATTTGCACTGTTTAACCCAAGTATGTGTGAGCTGTCCCTCTAAGGAGGACGAGTCTCGTCGAATTAGATGCAGTACAGGTTTTCCATCCATTTCATTTTTCTTCCGCTGAAACGCTTTTGGATTCCCTCTTATCACCGCAGTATTCTCTGAAAAATAAAGCATATATGTGTATACGCAGAAAAACATAGAAGGTGATGTGTGACAAGAATTAAAACAATCCAGGACGACACACCTTTTGTGCAGCATGCTTCCTGGCAGGAATATTGGGTAAAAAATCGCTGGCCCACAGCTGTCCGTGTGGATGAGGATTGGAACATCCCACCATCGCTCCTTTGTTCTCAAAAATCTGCAAAGCATTCAGTGATTAGAAAAATTGCTTCACTCTCATTCCTGGGCAAAAGCTACTCGCTGTTGTGACAAATCTTTCTTCCTCAGTATCCCGCAAGCCTCGACATCAGCAAACATCGAAAAAAAAAATGCATTAAAAAGGTGACTGCTCAACTTTACAAAAGCAAAAAATTTAAAAAGTCTATATTGAAGGAATTATAAATGAAAAATCTCCTCCAAGTGGCAAGCATGAAGCTGAAACATAAGCAAGCGAGAATGCCACTGGCAACAATTACCTGGGTATAATTACCACCTGAATACTAATGCAGAGTGCTTTGCTGAACCAGTGG